AGGACCTAGTGACTAACTTGATTTTCAATATTTATTAAATTAACTATATTATGGTCACACAAAGTACAGCTGAGGAAGCAACAAACAGACTATCTTAATTATTGCTTACATGTATCACAAATTTTAGTAATAATTTCTATCCAGAAAGCATGAAAATGAAATTTCTTCAAGCACCTCAAAGACTTTTAAAAGCGAGGTCTCTCAGAATACAAGCCTAACTACCTGCAATATTTCCACCAACTCTTCTTTTAATTGCTTTATGTAAGTGCTAGCAGCCTTAAACACAATTCAATAGGCTACATAATTGTTATAATTTAATTTTTGCATATAGCCTAACATCTTTTAGGTTTACTAAATGGTACAATTTGTTTCAAGATGTAAGCTATAAATTTGTGTTAATCCATGTCACTGATACATTAAAATAGAGAAATACCTGTGCCGCCTGCTGCTGCCCTTTTTGTCTCTCCATTTTTTCTAATGTTTTTTCCAGGGTTCTTAAATGTTTAAGATGATCCTGTTGTTGATCTCTTGCTTTAATTAGTTCAATAGTTAGTTTTTTAATTTCATTTTGAAGTTTGTGAACCATAACTTCGAGTTGTGCTTTGGAATTTCTCTCTTTAAAAATAATTTCCTTTAGCCTGATGCAGAAATTATATGTGGTGTTAAGTATATTACAAATATAAAAGTGATAAAAACTGTAATCAGTGTTAAAACTTATAGTAGAGAGGAAGATTTGAAGTATGTTTCAAACTTTAATTACAGTAAAAACTGGCTGAAAAACAATATGCCTTTCCTCCATCCCTGAACCTAACATTGTGCCCAAAAGGAAAACGTTCTACATAAATTAACAAAACTTTATCTTATGAGAACTTTACGATTCAATAGCAGAACTTTCCTAAACACCTAACTTGTTTCAAGTATTGTGCTAGATATGAACTTAAAGCAAGCAAGATGAGTACGATGTGGTCTCTGCCTTCTAGGAACTCGGTATCTAGCAGAGGGAACAGACATGGACACGTTTATAAAGCCATATGACAGAAGTGCCAAATGAATAGCTACCCGCAAGACAACTTTGACTTCCCTATATCTAACCCAGACACCAAGTATTGATCCTGGCTTTGTATTAGTTAGAATCCTTCGATTACAATGAAAACTCTTAGCTGGTTTAAATAAAAAGAGGGAATTTACTGACCCACATAAGCAAACTTAGAGGATGGGGTGACAATATTGAGGGACCACTGAAACCTAGAACATGCACGCCATTAGGACTCTGTATAGCTGATTACCTAGAGGCTGGCTTCAGTTTTTCCTCCTTCAGGCCTCTTTATTTATGAGGCGGGGGATGAAGGGGAGGCCACAAACATCTTTGGGATCATATTCTAACAACTCTGAGAACCAAACAGGAAAGATGTCCTTTCTATAACTCAACTTAGAAGAGTTCTAGGAAAAGCTCTCATTTGTCCATTAGATTTATACATCTACTCCGTGAACCAATCACTGTAGCCATGGGCTAAGACATGTTTACCCAGCTTAGGTCAGGTGTTCACCCATTAACCAATACTATAGGCAGGGAGGCAGGTGGTTGATATAGAGTACAGGTCTAGTGTTTAGAAAAGGGACAGTGAAGGGCCAGGCACAGTGGCTCACTCCTGTATTCCTAACATTCTGGGAGGCTGAGGCAGGAGGATTGCTTGAGCTCAGGAGTTCGAGACCAGCTTGAGCAAGAGCGAGAACCATCTATACTAAAAAATAGAAAATAGTATGGAAATTCCTCAAAGAACTAAAAGCAGACCTACCATTTGGTCCAGCAATCCCACTACTGGGTTTTTTCCCAAAGGAAAAAAGGCATTTTATCAAAAAGACACTTGTACTTGAATGTTTATTGCAGCACAATTCACAATTGCAAAGATGGGGAATCAACCCAAGTGCCCATCAATTCATGAGTGGATTAATAAAATATGGTATATGTATACCATGAAATACTACTCAGCCATAAAAAGGATGAATTAATGCTTTTTGCAACAATTTGGATGGAACTGGAGACCATTCTCTTAAGTAAAGTATTGCAAGAATGGAAAAACAAACACCACATGTACTGACTATTAAACTGGAACTAACCAAACAGCACTTGTGCACAGCACTTGTGCATAGATGGAAGTAAAACTCAATGGAAATCAAGCAGGTGGGAGGGAGGAAGGGGATGGGTGAAATCATACCTAACGGGTACAATGTACACTATCTGGATGATGGGCACACGTATAACTTTGTCTCAAGCAGTACAAAAGCAATCCATTTAAGCAAAACATTTGTACCCCCATAATACTGCAGAATAAAAAAAAAAAAAGAAAAATTAGCTGGGCATTGTGGTGTGTGCCTGTAGTCCCAGCTACTCGGGAGGCTGGGGTAGGAGAATTGTTTGAGTCCAGGAGTATGAGGTTGCAATGAGCTATAATGATGCCAATGTACTCTACCTGGGGTGACAAAGACTGTCTCAAAAAATGAAAAGGGACAGTGACAAAGACAGCCTCATGAATTAATTACTGACGTGGGCAGCCACCTCAATGTATATCTACTGTAATTCCCAAGCCACATTAAAAAAAACATATTCATCAACTTCTATACTACAATCATTTTTCCAATTCTTGTCCTTACCATCTCTCTTCTTGCCTTTAATGAGAGTAGTCTCCAAAATGGTTTTCCTTTGTTCACTATCTCAATTCCTGTTTGGTATGTTATATGAAAGAGAGTTGGACTATATATTGGATGAAGGCAGAGAAGTTATAGACAAACAGAACTGGAGTGATCATTTAAGCAAGATATAAGAGCCTAAACTAAGGTGACAGTTTTGGGATACAGAGGAGATAGTTCCACATCCTTTAAGAAGTAGAATGAAGAAGAGATCAATACCAACTGGCTGTGGGATATGAGAAAGAGAAAGGGAGCAAAAAACCTGATTCCTAGTTTTCTAGCTATGGTGGCTGACTAGATGCTGGATAGGACACCATTTATTAGGGCAAGGAATATTGAATGAGGAAGCAGGATGAGTCCATGTAAGGACACGCTGATCTTAAGATACTTCTGAGAAATAAAGGCAAGGCATTTTTAGTAGATAATTAGATAAATAAATCAGGTCATCAAGGAGGTCTGGACAATAGAGATATCATAGTAGATAAGATTCAATTTTTGAGATAACATATACTCAGCATGGCACATAGATGATAGACCCTGTATTAGGTGCCAGGTATACAGACTTCCTACCAAGGCACACAAGGGAATATCAAGATTGGTGAGGATCTAATCTGAAACAAACATTTGGAGTAGAGATAAAAGGAGAATCAGAAAAGACTGAAGCTGATTTTTCAAGATAACAATGAATATGTAACTTGGGAAACATGGGCACGACAATGGACAGGTTAAGTAAGGACAAAGATGAAGTGTGCCCACAGCTTTCCAATTTAAATGCAATCTGGCTATTTTGACAGTCCCAGACAGCTTTCTCCAATCTCACCAAAATAATACCTACAATATAGGATAAAGCAAAAATTCATACCCATACTACTAAAAACAAAAGATAACATAATGCCAAAATCTGGGAGGAATTTCATTTCAATTATAAGCCAAATGGAACTACACTGAAATAAAAACAACTCCTAGAACACTTAGGCTTTGCTTCATGAAACTGCTTCATTCTGAAATAGGAAGACACATCTCTCTTTTCTATTGTCTGTCCATGACTCAGTCACAGGGTCTCTAGCAATCTGTCATTACATATGTTGTTACCTATGCAAGAGTACTGTTTTTGTGAGGTAGTCACAGCACCATTAATTTATCCATCCTGTTCCCTCCCTTTCCCCCAATATCTTCTTATATCAATTCAGAGACAGCAATTTCCAAAACATAAATAAGGCAGGAAGTTGCTGGGTGGTGGTGGAAGGACTAGTAATAGCATCAGGCATCATGGATTGCATAATTAGATGTTCTCATAACATAGGTAAGGCAGTGTAATTTTCCTTATACCCCACAGGTACAACATGTGAGAGAAGCAGGTAGTGGGGTAGAAAATACATTAGTATCACAAAACTTTACCAGTTGAATGCTTAAAACAAACTGAGAATTGGAAACTACATACGTCAACTTACTATTCAAATGAGATCTTAGAAGACTTATCCACTGTATAATCAGACAGGAAACAGAAGTGGGAACAACTTCCCAAACTCTATTTGTTGGCAAATACCAAGTCTACAAACCTAGTGCTCATTCCAGGATAAGAGCAGGAAAAACCATCAGAAACTCTGTGGAAAAAAATCTATAACCATTTGAGGAAAAGCATAAACTTTAGAAATAATTGGTTATAGGAAACAGAAGAAAAAAATTCTTATTTAGAAAACTATTCAGTAACTCACAGAATGAAACGAGACAGACCTGTATTAAAGAATGCGATATAGAAAGAAAAAAAAATAGATAAAATGGGAGAAGGAATGGGAAGGATGGAAAAATAAAAACATTAGAATTAAGAAACCTGGCCTATCTAGTACCAAAGCCCATTGCAGAAAATGAACATGTGATAAGAGATTGACTATGACCCACAAAACTTAAAAGAAAAAGTTTGCTAACCCCTGTTCTTTACAGGAAAAGTTTGCCAACTCTTGCTCTAGTCTCTTGCTTTTCTTATAATATTAACTGACACCTCCCAGCTTGAAGGCTCAAATAAATGTACTCTAAATTCCTTGTTGATATGAAAAGTTAATGAAGCACTTCATCTTCTAATAAAATTAGTTCAAATCAAACTAAAACCTTATATACTGTTTTTTGATTGAATTACAGCCAGTTTCAACTAAGGTATTCCAGTTCCAAGTTCAGTATTCTTTATGCTGTAAGATATCTTTAGGTTTACATATTTTCCCCTTACCTATCTGTGGTAAGTAGAGCCAGGCTATGAATATCTTGTTTTTCATTTGCATGTTTATGCAGTTCATCAATATAATCCATAAGTTTCTTTTCAGTTTGCTCAGCTTTCCATCTCTTTTCTCTCTCTTGGTCTAGCTGTTCAACAAGAGACTGAAGGAAAACAACAAAGTTATATGAACTTGAAAGAGTTACCTAACTTCTCACTGCCTCAATATTCTCATTCATAATACAGTACTATTCATAATAGTACCTCTTCAAAGACCTGTGGTGAGAAGTAAGAAAATTAATGGAAGTAAAGCATACAGAATCGTGCAGAACAGTGCTTGGCACATAATAACCACTCAATAAGTCTTAGCTGCTATTATTGTCATAATGATAATTATTATTTTTCTCAATATTAAAGCCTCCATAATTGAGAATAAGGGGAGGAAACCAGTAGCCTGAAAGGTGTGAAATATTTTGAAAGATAATTCTATTACTGAAAGAATAGTGCACAGGTACAATCAAAAGAATAACCATTACTGCAACAAACAAGGGCAAGTTAATGAGAAATATAAAATAATGAATCAACATGTACTAAAGTTTTTCAACATAAGAATTATTAAACAAAATATTGAAGAATTTTTATTTTATTATTATTTTTTTTAGAGACAGGGTCTTGCTATGTTGCCCAGGCTGGTTGTCTTGAACTCCTGGCCTCTAGCGAGCCTCCTGCCTCCACCTCCCAAAGTGCTGCAATTACAGGTGTGAGCCATTGTGCCCAGCCTACAGAATTTTTAAATTCTCGAACACTTCTTAATCTGGAATCCACAGGTCTAAAATTCAGTTTCAGGAGAGTCCATGAATATCTTGAAATTACATATAACATTTTTTGAGTGTACGCAAAAATATATTTCTTTGAGGAGATTTCCTTAGATATTTAAAAGGGTCTAAAATCCAAAAAGGTAGGAACCACTACTTTAAGAAGTAAAAATTTAGAAATTTAGAACTGTTTCTCCCTCCACAAGCATGCAACAAATGACTTCACTTAAAGCTGATTTTAAATAAATGTGCAATTTCTATTTCTTTAAAAATTACAAAAACAATAGCATTACACAAACTCTGGAAACAAGGAAGGGATTCTCATCACTCCAGTAACATTACAAACAATAATTTTTGCTCATAGGAACATGAATAATTTTTCTGGGACTTTGTATTTAAAACTAGGATTATTCATGTTGATTTTTTTTCTTAATCTTGTAAATCATACCCGGTAAGTATTGTCTTCTGAGCCACTTCTATCTACTTTAATCATTTCAGTCTTTGGTTCTTCTGATTCTTGTAATACATGACAGTTCGCTAAAGATGATCTTACATATAAATCTTTAAAGTAAGGTTGTTTCATTCTACGATTACAACTGCAAAGAATAAAACATAGGAAATATGGTAAACCAGAAGCCAGAAAGGTGCACACATCTGAAAGAAAGTACAGTGTTTATACTGCTTTTATCTAACATTTATAGTCATATATGTAAAACAGCTTTTAAAAAAGGATATTTATTAAATAAAAAAATAGAAGCTTGGACAAACTATTTTATAAATTTTATAATGGTTGTGCTTTGTTGATTAATGAGTTTCTCAAGATTTTAAAAAAGATAATGAATATTCAGCATCCAACATATTCGGGTAGGGTAGAATTCTTAGATAAATTAGAATAATTTAAAAAGTATTCTAAGTATCCACGACTATGGTGAGATGACACCTAAGGACCTGGAAAAACAGTAAATATAATTACCTTTTGTGAATTAAAAATTTAAAATCAACATATTTTAAACTTTTAAAATCAAAGTAAATAAATTGTATAGATTATATAAACAGGCAAAGACAAAAGAGATTCCAGGCTATTTGCTGCCCATAAGTGAAATGAATGACTGAGTGTATATATATAAAAGTATAATTGGGTAGCCATGGAAGAAGTAAAACAATAACAACAAAAGAATAAATTTAAAAAAGGAAAGGAGAATTACAGAGGCAACAGTTGACGGTACCTATCCCAGAGTATAGTCATTGGTGATCTTAATTGTGAAAATACAGATAACATCAGATTCTTTTATCCTGATGCCATTAAACACAACCATCTTATTCATGTTTGATCCTAAGCTCAGTCAGTGACATCTGACTAGGTATTGGGTTCCCACTGGGATATGCCTACAGAGAGAACAAGCTAGTAATGTAGACTCAAGTGTATTAGTCTATTCCCACTGTAAATGAATGTAGTGGAATTTTAGTTTTGCATATTAATTTCACAGTTTAGGTAATGACAGAGAAAGAGATTGTTTATATAAATTTGTATGAATATACTGACCAAATCTGAGCCAACAAGGCTAAAAAGTCAAATCTTTGACTTTAGTAAAGTAATAAATGTCATGAGATAACTTTAAGGAATAAGCCAAGCCATATTAACTTCTATGCTTTATTTTAATTTCTAAAACTAAAATGAGTACCTTACAAAAGAGTTGCAGTTTTTACTGTGGTGCTTAATAGTTTGAATAGTTTTGGCATAATATGGGATTTTCGATCTCCGAGGAACTTTTCTATTGCATTCTTTTCTGTTTCCATAGTCACTCTCAGAAGTTACATCTGTGTCTCTTTTTGGTCTGAGGTCTTTCTCGGGAACATTATCTATTGAATTAGAAGTCTAGAATAAAAAAGCCAACAAAGTTTGTTAAAAGTTCAATTCAGTATAAAAAGATTAAAAGTGGAAATTTCCTAAAATACTGTGACTTTTTATAAGATTAAGGGTTTATAAACTAGAAATGTTTGAAATTAAAGACAGGGAATTTAGCTTCTGGTATGACAAAGCAAGCTTCTGCCAGGTTTATTCTCCTGCAGATAACAATTATAAACTCTGGGAAAAATACAAACCAAACCAAACCAAATCAATCAAAAACTACCTGAAGGCACTGGAAGTGAAGACAAGTAAGATTATTCTACAGGGGGGTTGACAGTTGGAAAATGGACCAGAAGGGTGTATTTCTGTTTTTAGCCTGAGAATGTATCACAATCATCACCATGCAGGGAGTCTAAACCTCAGGTAGGAAAAACCAGACTTTTGGTCTGAAGAACCAGACAGCAATAAGTGGTAGAATCAGACTGCAAGTAGCCCAGTAAAAGGAAAAAAAATGAAATTTGAATTGCTGCCTAAGACAAATTTATGGTTTGAGTCAAACCAAGTTAAATGTTTGCTAAAACAAAAATGTCAACCCTCTTTGAAAAACTATAACAGAATCTAGAGTCTCCCCAATGTAATATTGGTAATGTCCAGGATGCATTCCAGAATTACTTACTACAGCAAGAACCAAGAAAATGATCTATTCTCAAGAGAAAAGGTAATCAATGGAGATCAAACCTGAGATGCCTAATGTTTGAATAGGCAAGAACTTTAAAACAGTGATCACAACTATGCTCAATGAGATAATAAGAAAATATGCCTGTCATAAATGAAAAGACAAGGAAACTCAGCTCAGAAATAGAACCCATACAAAAATGAAAAATACAATGTTTAAAGTAAAAATTAACAGAGATTAACTGTAGAATGAGGCAATAAAGAGTAAGTGAACTTGAAGATAGGGGAAATTATTCAATATGAAAAATACAGAGAAATAAAATTTGATAAAATGTACAAAGCCTTGGAGACAATATCAAAAAGTCTAAGTTGAATCTGAAAGAGAGAAGAGAATGGGGCAGAAAAAATATTTGAAGAAATTATGGCCAAAAATTTCCAAGTTAGGTAAAGATATAAATTTACAGATTCAAGAAGCTCAGAGAAACCCCAAGCAGGATAAACATGAAGAAAATCATCCTTAGGTACAATGCAGCGAAAATAGTAAAAACCAAGACAAATTCTTGAAAGCAGCCAAAGAAAAATGGCACACTAAAATCAAGGATTTAAATTAACGCTGACTTTGCACTCAAAACTGTGGAGGCTAGCAGATGGCACTGAAAGAAAAGACTGTCAATCTACAATTTTATATACAGCAAAAATGTCTTTTAATAATAAAGGTGAAATCGACTTTGCTGTCTACAAACGTACACTACAAGATTTGCTGGAAGTTCTGGCTGAAGGAAAATTAATACCAGATGGAAACTTGAATTCTTAGGAAGAAATAAAGAACATGGCATATGATTTATATCGGGGTAAACACAAATGACGTTTATATATTTTTCCTCTTAATTTCTTTAAAGCAAAAATTAAAACATTGTTTTGTGGGGTTTATAATACATCAAAATGCAATATAAACTGTAACAAAGCAAAACAATGGAAAATTTCCTCATTTTACATGAAGGGATATAGTATTAACTCTAAGTAGAACGTGAAGCATCTTTTTTTTAGAGCAACCAAAACAAAACCTAGAGAAGTATGACTAAAAAAACCAATATATGAGTTAGCATTTAATTCTAAAAAAAATTCAACAGAGGGTAGGAAAGGAAGAAAAATGAATATAAAACAGAGACAAACATAAAACAATAAAATGGTAGGCCCCAATCCAATTTCATTAATGATTTCAGTAAATTTTAACGGATTCTTCGAAAGCAGTGATGGCCAGATGTGATTTAAAAACAAGACCCACCTATATACTATCTATAAGACCCACTTTAGAGACACAACAGGTTCAAAGCACATTGATGTCCCAATGAAGTACCATTTTACACCCACTAGGATGGCTATAATCAAAACAACATATAATGGATGTAGAGAAACTAGAACCTCATACTCTGCTGGTGGGGATGTAAAACGGTGTAATGCCTTTGGAAAGTCTGGCAGTTCCTTAAAAGGTTAAACATTTGACTTAGCAATTCTACTTCTAGGTATGTAGACAAGAGAAGTGAAAACAAATGTTCATATAAAAACTTATACATAAATATTCACAACAATATTATCCATTGTAATAACCAAAAAGTGGAGGTTACTCAAATGTCTACCAATTGATCAAAGGATAAATAAAATGTGGTATATCCATATAATAAAATATTATTTGGCAATAAAAAGAAATGAAGTATTGATATATACAACATGGAGGAACCTTGAAAATATTATGCTAAGTAAAAGAAGCCAGTCATATTAGCCACATACTAAATGATTTCATTTATATAAAATGTTCAGAGTAGGCAAATCCATACAGGAAGAAAACAGATTTGTGGTTGCATAGGGTTGAAGGTAGAGGTGGAAAGAAATGGGTAGTGACTGCTAATGGGTATAAATCACTGAACTGTGTACACTTCAAATGTGTGAACTGAATGGTAAGTGAATTATATATCTTAATAAAGCTGTTATAAAAAAAGCAAATGGATGGAAAAATATTTACTATGCAAACTGTAAGCATAATAAGACTGGAGTTGATAAAATACATCAGATAAAATGGACTTTAAGACAAAGAAGATTCCCAGAGATAAAGAGAAACATTTCATAATAATAAAAGCGTCAGTTCATTTGAAAGATCAAGCAGTCAAATGTCTATGTGCTTAATAACAGAGCTTCAAAATATAAGCAGCAAATGTGGAAAGAATTAAAGAAACAGACAATCCACGATCATAAAGATTTTAATACCTCTGACGCAATTGATAGAACTAGACCAATCCTCCCCGCTGCCAAACAAAAAAACCCCTTATCACCAACAGATAGAACCAGACAAAAAAAATCAGTAAAGACACTGATCACCTGAAAATACTGTCAACCATCCTGACTTAGTAAGTGCAGAAATACACACTCTTGAACATCCACCTAGAAAGACCATTTGCTGGGCTATAAAATAAATCTCAATAAATTTAAAAAGACAAATCATTCAGAATATATTCTCTGA